AGGTTTCAACTGTTTTATGTATATAGTTTCAAGAATGTTTAGTTTTTGTTTATTGTTTTCATGTTTAAGTATAGTTGTGTTTTCAACGAGGATTTTCCGGAATTGTGTACGCGGCCAGGAATGTTGTTTTAAATGCCTAAAAATGTTAGACTTATCATTCAAATACATATGTGCAAATTAATTAAGACAAAAAGTAATTAATAATAACAGGATTATTCAATTGTTAAGACAAAACGAATAATTCTGTTATTATTTACTTTTTTTTCGTATTTTTCCAATGAAACATGTCCCAGTACACATGTTAGTACTTTGTATATTTATTCTATGAAATCTTTACTGGCAGATTGACCACAGGTAGTTTATTGGATTTAAATCAGGAGAGTTTCCGGACCAATCTATAGGACTTTGATTTGCTTACTGGTAAGGTTTGTCAGTGTGTTCGTGCAGCGGTACCATTTCTGTATCTTGGAGTAATGTCCAGCGCAGACAATGGCCGTAGGGCAACTAACCAATAGTCGAAACAATAGTGTTGGGCATGATGGAAATCAGATGCAATCACGGACGATGCAGTATTTTTCAATGCCAAACAAATTTCATCATACACACCGAAAATACATTCATATTAGTGCACACCACTGCAAATTACCTAACCTGAGGAAAAAATAGAAAACGATTACACCGTCACTCCAGTGAGTCTAAAACTAACCGTATGATGAAAGAAAGGAAACTTAAGCGGTTTTTTCAATTAATTTGTGCAAGAGTGCATATTGTCGTGTAGAAAGACGATCGTGCTTCTCTAAACTAATTGTTGAACATAGGAATTCCCATTCACGATAAGTAGGACGTCTGCTTAAAAGAACAGGAACACAAAGTTGGTTGCAAGGCGTAGCATTGTGTCGTACGCATTGCCGCACTGAATTACGGCATTCTCTATTATTGTATTATTAATACATGTCCCTCATGTGATTAACCCTTTTCTTTACTAATCTCCTGCTCCAGTGTTTTTCTTGCAATATTATTATCCAGTAACTATAAGAGTTATAACAGTGGCGACGAGGATTCGAAACACACGTTTGAGAAAAAATACAATGACTGACATTGTAACAATTTTTGAACTCACGTCAACCATGGATTTGGGGAACGCACGATATGGAAGACTTCAAAATAGTGGTAAAACAGTTCTTGGAAGAACAACAAAAACAGTTATTAGAACAACAATAATAGCAACAACGAACGCTACAAATATAGCAACATCAAGCAAGGATGTTTGAAGCAATGTTGCAGAGATCAAAACTAACTAGTACTACACTTTCATTCACGCCTGATGTCTGTCGTAAACTCTATTAGAGAATTTTTTATATAAGCCTGAAGAAGGTGTTATGATTTTGTGGTTACAAAAAGTACAAAAATTTTCTAAAAAGGTTACCAGGGCTGGTCAGATGAAAAAAGTTACGTTTACTTTTAAGGAAAATGTGTCCATCAGTATCTAATATAATGTAATTACATTTTACCCTAAAAGCGAGCAGATATTACATTTCATGAAAGTGTGTTAATTTTGTCTAAGAAGCTGCCAATTTCATACACTTTTTATTATCCCGTGACCCGTAGGGGCAACCATGTATATTACAGCCGCAGTAGAAGTGGTAAGATAACCTGACGGAGCCCAACCCTCCCCAGGCCTGTTTTGAATTCAGAGTTATTCTTTCCCCTAGACAGGTTGCCACCCAAGGCTATAGAACCCAGCCTGTCCTGTTATTTACGCATAGCTGTGAAGAAGAGGATACATAACTTTTGCAAGAGTATTAGTACGTAAGTGAGTGTAATGGACTGGAATTCGAACTCGACTCTACGATTCCTCAAGCCGAGTCGCTATCCATTACTCCACCGTAAAGACACGTATACACGTTAGGAATATTTAAATCTCACAAAGAAAAAGAAAATGATGACCAATATTGTGTTACTTATACTGGTACTGTCAATCGTGAATGCGAAAAATTTAAACTGAACGCACATCTAGATATATTTATGTATTTAATTATCGTACAAGAAAATCCGTTCTCGTATCCCGACAAAATTTAAGCAGCGCAAAAAATTAACGTTACAGTCAGTGGCAGAAGAATGTGAAAGAATTCTGAATTTAATGAAACAGCAAAAATTGAAGAATTGGATATTTTATAAGTGCAGAGTGCGACCAAAACTAAAAAAAAAAAAAAAAAATGAAATTATGACACCGAAAACTATGGCGGATTGCCCGTTCAAAAATAAAAAGAAAGTGTTTCCAATATGGAAGACTGGACCATAGACAAAGTCATTGCAAATCAAATCAAAGGAAACATGTAAACATATTTTACAGTAAAAGTTCCATTGGAAACTTAAAACCTGAATGCGTCCCAGAAGTGAAATTTTGTGATGTTTAAGATGAATGACGTTAAAGTAAAACTCCAATTGGACACAGCGACATTATTATATATAATAATAAAAAAAAGCTTTGAAAAATATCAGTGTACCTACATTACCGAAAACCCAAAAAGGTGCATCTGGCATCTCAGAAAAAAAATTGTTTTCGAAGCACAATTACATGTAATGTCTCATGTGTTGGTAAAACTTTTCAAACTAAATTTTCACATTAAAAAAAAAGATAATACGTTGAATTTATTCGGCGCGGATTGGATGGACCTATTCGATTTGTGGAACCTGTCCCTAAATTCACTTTCTAAAAAAATAAGTATGGCAACTGAAAGTTTTTGTAAAGGCGTTAAAAGGACTTTTACTACAGTGTTCTCCGAAGATCATCAAAAATTTACTAAGGCGAAGGCAAATTTTCACTTACAGGTCAATGTAGTTCCTGTTTTTAAACGTAAACTTCCATGCCTTTTACAGTTGTGGAACTCATTAACAAAGAACTTGACAGATTAGAAGCACTACGATTTATTTCGCCCACAGATTATTCTAAGTTAGCAACTTTAACAGTGCTATCAGTTCTCTAAAAAATCAACAAAAAAAAAATCAACATGTATGTACGCACAGATTTCTCCCCGGTGTTAAGTGAGTGGCTATTACCTCCCGCATATCCGTTAGCGTACCAAGAAGAACATTTTGCCAAATTAACTGGTGGAATCCTTTTCTCGAAAATGGACCTGTCAGACACATACTTCCGAATTGAAGAGGATGAAAAAATGTAATAAAATTATTAACAACTAGCAGAATGACCCGGCGTTGCCCGTACTTGATTAAAAAATCGTACGACACATACAGCAATCGCTATCACTTGACTTAAAATATTTTTGCCCTTCCTTGCCTTTAAAGAAGTGCCCTTTGCCGTGATGATTTTGCTACGTGCCTTACTTCTTGCCTATCTCACACTGCGAATTTTTTCTAAGCTCTATACTAAAAATTAAATCTGTTACGAAAAAAGAACTAAACAAAATGAACACAAAACGATCAGCTTTAGTAAAAGGACTCGTAACTGCAAAAACCGAATGAAAAAAGAATGTTAACAACAAATACTTTTCCACACCCAATCCAGTTCTGCGGAATCAGAATCAACGTTGAGTTTAAGCATGCGAATGAGCCAATTGGAGTAAAGTGCCATGCAGATTTGAATTTTTCCCACTTGTGACGAATGCAGCTATCGATTTTTTTCCATGCTAGCATGCTAGTTAGCATTGGTGTCAGTCAGCTGTTGACTCTAACACTGGACAACAGAATCTTCTTGCCTATTCGTGGCAGCCAGCTATTGGCTCTCACTCCGGCCAGTAGAAAATTTCCGCAAACTACATGTAAACTTCCATAGAAGCATGAAAAATTGATTATTTCCACTATCGATGGGGGTTGGGAAATGCAAAGTCGATCTTGGCCTTTCCGCTAACTTGGAGCATGTGCATGTAAATTCTGTTGCAAATCCGTCGAAAACTGCGGCCGTGCATTCGTTACACACACACACACATATCCTGCATATTATAGATAGAGATTAACTTACAAAAGGGTCTATACAGTTTTATATATATATATATATATATATATATATATGTGTGTGTGTGTGTGTGTGTGTGTCCTGAAGAAGGTCTACTAGGCTGAAACGTCTGAAACAACATTAAATCAGCATACTTGCATATTCGGATTTTGTTTTTCCATATTTTCTTCATATTGTCGGAACTATAACCACATATTTGCTTACATATATATATATATATATATATATATATATATATATATATATATATATATATATATATATAGCCGACTGTCTTTTTTATCTAATCGTCAATCCATGCGTTTTATTATGAAACGGACTGTCTGGCTATTGACCTCAATGTCCACTTTTACATTTACATACGCTGTATCCTTGACAGTGATTACTCTAACCTTTAAATATATCATACCATAAAACTATATAACTATCATATATATATATATATATATATATATTCTACTACTCTGAAAATTATTTTTTGTCACCCGTGTTTGAGTAGACACCATGTTATTTAAACAGCGCTAATTAGGTCTATAAAGCAAAATGGCAATAGAACCTTACTGATTTGTGACGTTCTCTCTGACCGAGCGGTCTAAAGCAGGCTAGATCAGACAGTGAGTAATGTGTCTGGGAGCACAGTTTCTTTATCAAGTCTCTTGATTGCTCAGGGTGGCCGACGTAAATAATGTCAGATAAGGAAAATATTGATACTTTACACACACACCCACACACGCACACGCACGCATATATATATATATATATATATATATATTAAAAGATATACAAATGTTATTGGCTAAGATATCAATACCTATACTCATATATACATATGTATTAATAGTTATGTCTTTAAAGTATATTTTCAAGTTGACTTTGTCATCTCTATTCCAAAACTGATTGATAGACAATGTTTTCGCAGTCGATTGAACTGCATTACACATAGCTGCAGTTGAGTTCGTAAATTCAAACCGAGGCCAAGCGTAGAAGAGACCTGACACAAATTTCAGGTCAGTGAAATTGCCATGCATCAAACGGGAAACTGTTTTATGCACTTCATAAATTTGGCGGGAATAAAGACGAGAAGACAGAAGTTTATAATGGGCACATTTGGTGCCAGCCGAGGCTGATGAATGGCGCCAGTTACTTGTAAATTACCAGCAAGTGTGAATAGTAGGTGAGGAGAGGGATTTTCAAGAGAATGAGAGATGAAAGAAAGAAAGAGGGAGAGAAAGAGAAAGAGAGAGAGAGAGAGAAAGAGATAATGATAAAGAAAGAGAAAGAGAGGGAGAAAAAGAGTGAGAAAGAGAGAGAGAAAAGAGAGAGATTGAGAGAAAAAGAGAAAGAAAGATGGAGAGAAAGGGAGAGAGAAAGAGAGAAAGAAAGAGAAAGAAAAAGAGTGAGAGAAAGAGAAAAATAAAGAGAAAGAAAAGGAGAAAAGAGAAGAGGAAAGAGAGAGAGAAAAGAGAGAGAGAGAAAAAAGAGAGAGAGAAAAGAGAGAGATTGAGAGAGAAAGAGAAGGAAAGACAGAGAGAGAGAAAGAGTGAGAATGAAAGAAAAAGAAAGAAAGAAAGAGAGAAAGAAGGAGAGCGAGAAAGAGAGAGAGAGAGAGAGAGAGAGAGAGAGAGAGAAAGAAAGAAAGAGAGAGATTGAGAGAAAGAGCGTCTGAATGTGTCTGTAAATTTTTAAAGCATCGAAGAGTTTAAATAGAGGAAAAACAGCAGAAACATAGAAAGGTGTAAGAAAAAGATCGACTGAAAGAATTTCGATGTTGAAATCGAAAAATTTTGAAGAAAAACTTTCAGTACAATCAAACCGACGTCTCCAACTACAACTAGAATTACTGAGATTTACACTTCAAGATGCTTCAAGATGTTCAAAAATTAATTATAATCTGCGTGAATTGCCTTTTCAATAAGAAAGCACATTCTGTTCTTGTGGTCTTTGATCACCATGTCTGGGCGATTAGTTTTGACTGTAAAGTGTTATATTGCAAAGTCCCATAAAATTGGTACACCTATCTCTGTAACTCGGTTTGGGTGATGTTTATACCAGTTTGTTGCAGTTTCCTTCTGATAAAATTTGCATATTTTCCAGTGTAGATATTGGCCTAATTTATCATACCGTATTTTATATTCAGTGGGTTCTAATACTGTGCAATCTGATGCAAGATGTTCAATTATTCCTGAATATTTATCACAGAATCTTCATTTATTATTATTATTATTATTATTATTATTATTATTGTCCTTGTCCCTCCATTCGTTAGTTCGCGAGACAGTTACGCCCTGCCAATGCTTTATAAATAATGGACTATTCCGTTTTGATCGCATGGAAAGAGAGAAAAAAGACGCTTCTTGGCTTCAGTGAGAAAATAAAAGTAAGAAAAAAATAAGTTTTTAACGTCTGTGGCAATGAAATAGAAAAAAGTTGTCAATTTAAAATCATTTCATATTACCCACTTCTTAAAATGACGACCAGTCTTCATATTTATGATTGTTATTGAAATATTTTGTTAAAGTTCTTAAGCTCAAATATTTAACGATGTGATAGGGGAATTTCTACGGACATTTTATTGTCATAGAACATGCCATGAGCTTGCACACTCATTAGCTTAAGAATTAAGATGCATGATAATATTAAATTAAAATAGGAAAACCGTGAAATTGTCAAAGGTTAAAACTAGTTATCATTATTATGATGAATTAAAAAAAACCATAAAAAGAATTTCCTTGTATCTTTACCAAAATTTTTATAAACGAAGAATTGCTGTCCTAATATACATAATCTTACTTATTATAAAACGCAGATTGTGTGTGTGTATGTGTGTCTGTACGTTTATATATTGGATCGGATTTCCTACATTTTTCAAACGATTTCAAAAAACTTCACAGGACTATGTAAAATTACCTTCCGGTGGTTCTGACAGCGCCAAAAATTGGAAAAACACAATTGTTTTTGCACGAAATCAATTTGAAAACAAGATAAAACAAGATTCTGTCGCCAGAATGAAAGGGGGACAACTCATATCGAGCTATACTTATTATAAAACCCAGGTTGTTTGTGTGTGTGTGTGTGTGTGTGTGTGTGGGTTCGTTTATATATGGGATCAGATTTCCTACATTTTTCAACCGATTTCAACAAAACTTCACATTTTTTTGGCAGGTGCTGTTTCTTATTGTCTTGCACACTTTTTTCGTTATTTTTACATTCAGAATGCTTTAAAAATTCCATTTACAAGACAAATGTTTATAATAAAATTCTATTAAATCGGTAGACTCATAACAATTGAAAACAATGTTTTTGTTTGAGTTTGACCAATTCGTAAAAAAAAAAAAAAAAACTAATTAAGACATGCGTGTCCGTCAACCTTAAACAATAATCTTTGTCAATTTTATTTTTCAGTCTTTACGATGGTTGATACTTGATCTATCTCTTACTGTTACATCCCCGGGCAACGCCGGGCTCTACTGCTAGTATCATATATGTCTATAATTAAATCAATAGCTTCATCTACCACAAGGAAAGTTGGTTCTCTGTGTCGCACCAGAAGGTTTGTCTTGCCTGTGTCCATTCTTCAAATCTATAAAGCACCTATTCGTCCTTGCTGCTGCCATATATGGTCTACTTCTCTAGCTGTTCATCTCGAGGTCCTCGATAAAATCCAGAGACGGATATGCAATGTGATAGGTCATAATCTGGCATCTTGTCTACAGTCAATTTCTCACAGACCTGCTGGGACTTCCCTCTGTCTTTTCTACAAATATTTTCATGGCAACTGCTCTGACGATCTACTTTCATTGGCTGCCTAACTGAATGAATTTAAGCGTGCTACTAGATTGGCATCTCGGTCCCACCCTTTCACTGAAGAAACGGTTATGTGTGGCCATCTCTTCTACTCCAACAGCTTCTTATCTCTCAATCTCCGACAGTGGAACTCCCTTTCTCTTACTTGCTTCCATGATAACTATAATCTTCAAATATTCAAATGTAATGTCAATCGACATTTTCTGATGCCTTGATCTTGATTCCCGTTTTTCCCTCCTTTATCCTCTCCCCAAACACTCCTCTTTACTCTTGCTCTCACGCTCTGTAACCCCTTGCGTGCTAGTGGCACTCCCGCCGTGCTTTAGGTAATATGGTTCAAAAAAAAAAAAATTCTGAGATGAGGCATTGTAACTATTTACACCATGTACATTGTTCGAACGGTTTCTCTCATCTTTATTGTTATATTCATGACGTTTCGGCCGTTATATGCTCCGGCCTTCTTCAGGTGATATACGGTATAATTTTAAACCGAACCTTTTATTTATTCTATTGGGGTAGATTGTTCTAGGTCTAAGTGTCATGTCTTTTCTGGATATCTGAGTTTCATTTATTTACCTTTTTCGTAACTCAACTCTTTGATGTTTAACTTCAGTGATCGTACGAGAACCGCTGTTTTTGGTCACATCTACTGTAGCCAGGTATTGAACTCACAGCTCTTTGAGGGAAGTCACTAGATTACTTCAATTAATGCTTTTATCCACTAGTCCGAAACGTCGTGAATATGACAATAAACAGGAGGACATGTTGCCGGAGTATGCTGGTCCGGTGTATAGTTTGAAAAACCCGTATGTCCTGGAATGTTTATCCCACAACAAAAATGGCGGAATCGGTATGTAAGTCCAGGTAGTAAAATACAACGAAACAACTAAAACTAATACATAAATACAAAGAAAAGATAATGCATTATTAAAAAGACAAAAACTTACATTATTGCAAGCGACAAGACAATGATATTGCATGTGACAAATAATTAATATGCATTAAGAAAATATTTAAAGTCGAGTGACGTCCTGGAGCGTAGAACCGCCTATAATTGCTGGTGTTACCAGGTCCACCCTGACCCGGGGTGGTAGCATCTGTTAGGGTCCCAGCTATGGGTAAATAGTTAACTCCTAAATAGGAGTTAAAACACTATGAAAGTATAAAAATAGGTTTTAATACCAGAAATACTTTGTAAAAATATATTACCAGCAATACATTTTTGGAGAAAAAAAACTAATACCAGCAATACATTTTTGAAAAAATATTACCAACAATGTTTTAAAAAATAAATATTACCCACAAGGTATTTAAAAAAATATATTACCAGCAATACATTTTGGAAAAAACAAAAATTACTACATAGCTATACATTTTTGAGGAAAAATTATTAGCAGCAATACATTTTTAAAGGAAATTATTTAAAAAATAGATTTTGACAAAACAAAATATTACCAGTAATAAAAATTTTGTCCTCATTAAATAACCCATTGAGGTTGATATGCCGTAAGACAAACCAAACCAAAGTCGAGTGAATTTTTCTTGCATATGAAGAGTGTGTAAAAATCATGGAGAAAAAGGGAGTTAAATGAAGTTGCTTGCGTGCTTTCCTTTTTGGAGAAAGCGTTTACCTCGTTCGACCAACATCTTATTGTTTCTGAGTGAAATAGGAAAAGGATATGACAGAAAATTCTATATTGTATTTATAGGTTCAGAAAGCGTCATCTATTGGCGTTTGTGTTAGGAAAGCAAGTGTGGTAACTCCACAGACAACAGTCCGAACAGTATAAATAATGTAAATACCTAATATATATATATATATATATATATATATATATATAAATAAAATGAAGAGGTTATAGCAGTTCCAACGAGAGAAAAGTGTGTATATTAAAAAGAAGAGAGATATCGCAAACGTTTTTGGTTGTAATGTGGATTTTTTTAAAAAAATATTATGCTTTACTTTCCATAATTTTCCATAATTTTACTACACGTGTTTCCGGTCTTGCGACCGTCATCAGGTAAAGGCTGTAGATTTCCACATATTATTAAAATTAATTCATTTTTTTCTCTTTATGTTTTTCGATGTTAAATATTTTCGATATGAGACATCCAACATGCAACCAAAACAATCCAGAACTATTCACAGAAATTACAAAAATTCTAGACCTACTTAACAAGGATAATAAAGTGAAAAATATACTAAAAACAACCAAAATAATATTATTAACTGGGGTAAGGAAAATGCGCTCTTTTTAATCGTCAAAGAAAACGGTTTTCTGCCATCAATCAGCATGACTGATGCTAAACTCCAGGAGACCAGGTCATGGCGTTTTATCGTGTTAAGGTTTGATGTTTACATGAAGTGAGAAGATTATATTCAATCAATTGCTATGTCCGCTGTGATTAAATTCGGTTCAATTTATCGTACTAGACAATTTTTTTTTCTCGACAGAATCTATCTTTATATATTCGTCCGTGTATTGAATATTGTCTGGTGCTTCTGCTATGTATCTCGATATTCTTGATAAAATACAAAGAATCTGCGATGTTATTGTTCCTTACCTGGCATCTCGGCTTCAGTCCTTTCCCCACAGCCGTAACGTAGCTGTCGTGTGCCTTTTCTGAAAACACTTTTATGATAATTGTTTGGATGAAATTTCATACGCAAGTTTATCATCAGTTTCTATTTGAAATGGTGAGATATAACCGTAAGTCCTATGCTAACAGGTTCTTCTATCGTACTTCTCATTTGTGGAACTCTCATCTGGCTTCTTGCTTTCTAATCAAAAATGTAAATGCAATGTGAATCATTATTTTCTGTCATCTTAATTCCTGTTCATTTATTGTCCACTTTCCTTAAAATTT